TCCCCCCCCCCCCCCCCCCCCACCCAATTTCTCCACGGATTTAGCCTTTTCCAGAGAATGTTTTTTTTTAATTCAATTCAATTAATTCAATTCCCCAGAAATGTGCTATCAAATTTTTTATGGTCATTTTTGTCGGGGGCCCCTAAAGTTCGGGGCCCCCCGTCACTGGACACCCTGACACCCTCCCGTTACGCCACTGGGGACTATATAATAAACAGAACATTACACAGTGGCTCGAAGGTATATGACTTTTATCTTCTCGTGTTAAAAACAAAAAAAATACTTTGCAGATTTGATGCAAGTTGATGAAACAAGTTGCATCAAGTCTGCAAATATCAACTTGCAGCAAGTCTGATGAACGCATCAATGCTGATGCAAGTTGAGAAAATCAGGCTTGCTGCAAGCTGTCATTTACAGACTTGATGCAAGTTGTTTCATCAATTTGCATCAAGTCTGTGGATATCAAGTTTTGATAAGTCTGATGGAACAACTTGCAACAAGTGTGATGAACGCATCAATGTTGATGCAAGTTGAGAAAATCAGGCTTGCTGCAAGTTGTTATCCGCAGGCTTGCTGCAAGTTGTTCAAACAATTTGCAGCAAGCTTGCGGATAACACGTCTTGACAAGTCTGATATAGAACAACTTGCAGCAAGTCTGTTGAAATCAGGCGTGTTGCAACTTGACATTTGCAGACTTGCTGCAAGTTAATAACAAATTATTTGACTTGTTCACAGACTTTGTTTATTGTTTGGCGGCTATGAAAATTCGGCCGTGATAGCAGTTTCGGCGATTACCTAACGTATACTTCAATCTTTACATGTCATGTGTTTACAGCTGCAATATAATGTCGACGTGTTGGAAAGAAAATGCAAAAGATCGCCCAGATTTTGAAACTTTGAAGAAAATGCTCTGCGAAATACTGGGTTGTGAAGAAATTGCGCAGGTATGTCAAGAAAAATATTCCAAGAGAAATGTTAATTAACCATGTCCTATGTCGTTGAATTTAATTAAAATTCCGTTGTTACAGAACTATAAATAGATTTGACGTCCATCCCGGACAGATTTACGACGAAAATGTGAAATTCCATCAAAATAATATTTGGCACTATCATTAGATGCTGAGGAATGTTGAAATTTAATTGAAGTTACATCAACATAAAGGCTATTTTAGACGAGGCATTTTTGCTGTAAGATACAACGTAATTTCGGATGACAGAGTCATTAGGCCTAGTTTATACGTCGAATTTCAGTCGAATTTAATTCGTCGAATTTAATGTGACAATTATGCGACGGAAATTCGACGGAAGTGTTTGCGTGCAGTTTAGACGTCGAATTTTGGTCGGAAAATCAAAACATGCGGGTGTTGCAGGCTGTAAGATGGACAAATAAAGGCCCATAAAATAAAGATGCGGCGTCTACAAAAGCAATTATCTTGAAACAAATCCTGAAAATTAGCGGAGAAAGGAGTCAAAATGTTTGCACTTAGTAATTAATAGAAAAAGGAAGATTCTTCGACTGTGCTTGGCACTACTTTCCAATTTGTATGAAGCGTAAATACCCTGAATTTGTTCATGTCGTCGGCTTGAAAGATCAGTACAGTGTAGTTATTGGTTGGAGTTGGAATCTGTGGTCAAAGTATTCTGAAAATGGTTTAAGAATATTTTTCGCGTGTCACGATAATTCTTCACAACCATTCTTCACAAGATTGGAGACCAGTTAGAGAAAGAATTAAAACAGAGCTACCAGTTTCTTATTTTTGTTTCTTTTTTTTGTCAGTTTTTTTTCAGTCAGTTTTTTCCCCCTTGGCCAGTACCCACTGTTCATAAGATTGTCATTGAGGTTTGTGAAGTAATGGTTACACATTTATGGCAGGATTATGTGTCTAGTTATTGTCCATTGACGGAAGAACATACAGTATGAAAGAGAAAATCATTGATATGAAAGATATTTCGGGGAAAGGTATGAAAGATATTTGCATCCCTCAATTAATTTCTTCATCTGTTATAGCCATAGAACATGATGTACAATTGAAAACGTACGTTTTACATGTAATACGACGATATTTAGCAATTAGAACATGGATGTTGTTTGTCCGCCATGTTGAAAATCACACTTCGTGGAGTCCACGAAGTGTGATGTTATTGATTTTAGGGTACAGTTGTGGATAACAATCTAATTTAAATAATTTATTCATTTTATTCGATGCGACGGAAATTCGACGTATAAATCAGTGTCGCGTTTCGGTCGCATTACACGACTGATCATGTCGCAAAATTCGACAGCGTCGCATTTAATGCATCCCGTCGGATTTAGTCAATTTATACGTCGAATTTTCGTCGGATATAATGACTTGACTGAAATTCGACGCATTAAATTCGACTGAAATTCGACGTATAAACTAGGCTTAATTCAAAAGGTTGTCACAAACAAAATGTGGAATGGCCAGCATTCTAACATGCTACTCTGCCAACCAGTGTTGTAACGAGTCACCTATAGGTCGAGTCACGAGTCGAGTCACTCAAAGGTCGAGTCACGAGTCGAGTCATTTCAGTTTCTGATCGAATCGAGTCAGTGGCTTCACTCGAGTCGAGTCAGCGGTTTCACTCGAGTCAAGTCGAGTCACTGGTTTAAGTCGAGTCAATAGCTAGACTTGACCTGAGTCAGGGAATTTGATCAAGTCCAACTTCGTCCCCAGGGTCTTCCTCGTGGTGGCGCATGAGCTGACGAAGACCCTGGTAAAATACGATGAAATCTCCAAGATTCTTGGAGATTTATCGCATCCACAGTAACGACAACGTTATGTTGTTGACTACAATTAGCGCTGGCGCTTACGATTTTCTTGCTTGAAAATATACATGTTTTGTTGATTGTTTATGGATTTATTCTCAAAGTTTTAACAACTTTTACGAAAAATACTTCAGATATAAGCTGTGAACACACATGTACACAAAACTGTGCAACATTCATCATCATATTTTATCAATTTGTCGGAGTATGGCGCTCAAATTTGTGACATTGTTTTGTTCGCTTTGGCAACCCTCGTATATATCAGATGCTGTTCGGCCTCAAATGCGACTGAATAAACACTGATAGTGTTGCCTGGAATATGAAACGATATTGAATGATTGTTCCGTATATCAAGGTACGTACTGTACATTTATACTGGATTTATTTTCACACGAGTTTCAAACTATTTCAGCTTTAGGAACAATGAGATCACATCACTAACATACAGAAAGACTCCATATTTTCTCATCAAATCTGATTATCGTTACAAGTAACAGTAGAAATGCTTCAAAATTTATTCCGTATGTAAAGCAGGCCAGCATGTTTCATTTTCCTTGGTAGTCACCACTCACCATTCCAAATAGGCCATTCCATTTAATAGCCCCCCCCCCCCCTATTGTCTATTGAGGTCTGGATATCCTATATGAGGATTTTATAGAGGGGGTTTTTACCTTAAATTTTTGTGGAGGGTAGCTTAAGAGATTTCCTAAAAAATAGGTGTTTTAGTAATATCCAAAGGGGCAGGAACAATATCCTAAAGGGGTAGAAAGACATCCATAGGGGTTCCAAAATTGCATCCAATGGGGTTCCAAAATTATTAAAAGGTATTATGAAGAGACCCCTCAATAGGGTGTGGGGGGGGGGCTATATTAGATGGAATGGCCCAGTGTGCTGCAACAACTTTTAAAATTTGTATATATGTTTTTAAGGCACAATATGTGATGGAGTTTGATATGATGATCAGCACAACCTGAAGGTCTTGACTGAATGAACAACTTATCTGATATACTCCTACTTCCAATATTTTGTTGTATATTATCACCAGCTCAGATGTCAGTTGGATCACTTTGAATGAACATTGGAGTGGCACCAGCCTAGACCTAGGCCTTCTAGTCTTATTTATATTTTTTAGTATTCAGCGGTTCCTCCGCCCCGCCCCCAAATTACCTAGTCCCAGTCTTTTCATGTGAAAAAGCGCTGAATATTAAAAAAATATAAATAAAAATAGAAGGCCTAGGTCTAGGCTGGAGTGGCACAATAAAGTGTCTGTATTAGGGAGGAGTCTATAAGGACTGAAGTAAAAGGCACACTTTTGGATATTAATCTGAATCATAGCAACTACTAGGCTCGATCCAGCCGGTGGGTCTCTCCCCCCACCGGCTGGATCAATGGTCGAACAGCGTTGTCCGTGACGTCACTTCCGTTTTTTACTGATTATTATTCGCATGCGACATTTTTGGCGCTTTACATGTAAATATGGCTGAGGGAAAGCTCAATATCACTCCAAAAAAATATCTAAAAGAAAATAAATACTTTTGTTTTTTGTGTGGTATCAACTTGCCGGATGCGAAGAGAAGAGCAAGAATAACTAGTTCAGTTGCCAAGCTGTTATCTGATATTCTTGAATGTGAACTTGACACCATCGATGTAACAGGATACCTTTGCAACGATGACTGTTATAAAAAGACGAATAGATTTGCAGCACTGAGAACATCGTTGGCGGATCTGTCTGCAGCATTAAAAGACAGACAATCACATGCTGCATGTAAAACTTCAGTGCGATTCAATCGTGGAGTTCCGAGCGACGTGAAAGAAACATCGCAACCCGCGCAGCGTCGGAAGAGTCTGAATAGTGTTCTGAGTCAGACGTTTCAGGACATTGCACCAAGTTCAACATGTGAACGATTCAAGAGTCAGTCTAATACAGTTCAGAGTATGAACTATCAGAAAACTGCATTAAATTCAACCTGTGTTTACCTTCCTTCTGCATTCAATACA